GATACTGCGGTGTGCCCCATTTCATCCCTTTACCATCGTAGATGACAGTGAATGTTGACCGTTACCCAGCTTTTGCTTCCGAGCCTTCGTGGAAAAGTAGTCCACGCCAGGATATGCGTCCTCAAAACCAGATTTTATTCCCAAAAAAAACATGGGAACATGGCTTTTGCGAGCATTGTTCGAGTGAAAACAACCCATGCCCACCTGGCCGTGGTTGTCAAAAATAGGGTAACCCCAAAATGGGTATGGCCCTAGCTTCCAGCCAAGGTCACCTGGCCGTGGTTGTCAAAAATAGGGTAACCCCAAAATGGGTATGGCCTTAGCTTCCAGCCAAGGTCACCTGGCCGTGGTTGTCAAAAATAGGGTAACCCCAAAATGGGTATGGCCCTAGCTTCCAGCCAAGGTCACCTGGCCGTGGTTGTCAAAAATAGGGTAACCCCAAAATGGGTTGCCCTAGAAGGAACCATGGACGATTCAACCTGCGGTCCAATTCCTGGTTTGATTTTGACCCCCACCTCTTCCCAATTGGACCCCAAGTCCGGAGGCTTCCATAGCCAAAGCCTCAAACCAGCGAGCCAAACCTGCGGCCTCTTGGCTCAAACCTGGGTACACCAAGAGTCATATTTTCCGGGTATGGAAGTCATAAATCATCTACAACGCAAATCCGGAGGAGACACCATGCGCTGAACGACTGCAACACCAGCAAGCCCTCCAAACGCATGGTGACTTTTCTTTAGCCCAGCAAAAACCTCCAGCGAGTGGCTTTGCAAGCGAAAAACATCCTATTCTCTCTTCCTGAGCGGATTGGCACGCGAAAAAGCAAAACTGAACTGCTTGCTTGCCACCAAAATGGCCCGGGCCCAAAAAAACTTGCTGGTGCTCAGTGGTTGTTGGAAGGGGATTCCCTCAAAGGAAACCAACTCGGGGATGGTGTTTTTTCCGGCTCGTTCCAACTCATTCCCTGATCGAACCAGCGAGGACCTCAGGAAGCTGAAGGTTAGTTCACTTCAAGAAAACAAAGCATGATTAGAGTTAGGCCCAGATATAGAATGTCTATTTTCTTGTTTGCTTCACTTTGAGTCACTGGTAAACTGTAAAATGTCTCCTAAGTCTAGACAGCCAAGGAACAAGGGGGGCAAACCGGATCTGCCGCCCAGGAGCTGTCTTCAGCAAGGCGATTTCGGTACACCTCCGGGCACCGCAGACCGGGTCTGTCCGGAGTTTTCATGAAGACTGAGCCCATTGATCACCACCCCCTTAAGGGGGGGGACCTGAAAATGTAATATTACATTTTTGAGGTTCGCATTGGACTTGGAAAAACATACCCAGCACATCAATGGCCGTGGTCACATAAACTGTTTGGGGGGGTCCTGGACTTTTGGTTTGGTTGATCTTAATAAGGGAAACTCTATCTCCCCCCCAAATTATAAAAATAGGAGCGAGGAAAGCAGGGAGCAAATCAGCAGCTTCTGGGAGTTCTCGAAATGTCAAAGTTGCGATGGGACATCTTGGTTCTGGAACGGGCAAGTTAATTTTGGCTAAGGATTTCGATTTGCCACGCGATTTTCGACACGAGGCTAGAAAGCTCCTAAAATCAGTAATGACATTGGTTGAATCTGCTTTGGTGATCGCCGGACGGCCTGCTACAATTGTCTGAAAGGGGTAGGGTGCAACACCAGTCATGCCAAACGCCTGATTGAGCTCCATGATGAAAACAAACTTGTTTCTCCAGTTCTCAATATATTGTGAGGTTGGACAATCAACCAAGCAGCTGGTTCAACGCTTGAAGTCTTCATTGGCTGCTGTTTTGAGCGAATTACCTACCCATGTTGCCCATAGTGTTGGGAACGTTTACCCTACCAACAAGCATGGAAAAGACTGACTCACTTTCTTTTGCAAAGGGGTCTGTGCACTCCTATGTTTGTTGCTAGGAGGTACGTTAAGAGTTTGTCCAACTCAAGCATGCTTGCTTTGCATGTTCTCTGAGCCTACGTTCGTTGTCATTAGCTCATGTGTGTTTCTCGGCGGTAGCAAAGTCAAGAGCCTTTGGAATGGGAACCTGGCAGACCCACGCAACTCTTAGCTAAATGAGCCCCAGTCAATCCCGTGGATTACCCATTTCCGGCTGGTAATTTGATGCGACCCCGTGTCATCCTACTGCTGGCAGTACATATCGACTGCTTCTAAAATAAATTAGTAACCAATACTTAAGCTGGAAGATTGGTAAGCTAACCCCCAGGTACATTGGGATTAATATGTATATATATACATATATATATATAATAATAATATCCTTATACTATAGCGGCTATAGTGGCAGTATATCCCATTAAACCCTTGCGTGTTGATCATGCTCCAGGAAACACTTTCAGCTTGCTTTGCCCAAAGTTTCTCAGACAATGGAAACAATACCAATTGTCCTACCCGGACCCCCAGTAGATTTCCATGGAAGAAACATATGGGCACCCGTTTTTGGGGCTGTGGATTCCAAACTGCACACCGACAACAAAGGCACTGGGGTCTCCGGTTGTTTTTTGGCTTCCCTTTCAAAAACTCCCATCTAAAACCAAGTCGAGTCATTTCTCGGGAGTGGAATTGCAGGGAACCAGGGGAAAAAAGACGAGACACAACCTTGGTTTGGCGCAGCCGCTTTTGGAAGACGGAATAACTCGTGAATTGAAAAAGGCAGCCTGTGGGCTGGCTGATCTTTTTCAAAACAACACTGGGCTACCCTCAGATCCCCACTCAACACTAAAAAGCTAAAAACCAGAGGGAATGGCTGGGAACCAACAACAACATGTTCTCATCTTGAACCACTTGCCGCTTTGCGCCCCCCAACCGAAGTACCAAAGTGAGCTCCGCTCCAATTGGTGGCTTCGATTGGTGGTTTGGAGCTGGTCCGGGTTTCGTTGGAGGCGTTCTAGGAGTGGTTTCCTCTGGTACCCCAACTCAAATCCAAATCCACCAATCCAAACCTCTAACTAAGTGATACCCAAAAAAAGGCTTCTCGATAAACTGTCATTTGCCCCTGGACACACCTGAGAACATATTTCCAGTAGTGATAGATCCGAGTAAGGGTAGCCAGCAAACAACATATAAAAGACATGCAACTCGCGCGCAACACTAAAAGTTCCCAGGCGAAGCTCCGCTTCCCCGAAGTTCGGGATTTCCGAATGCCAAGGCCAGTGATCTATCCCTGTGGTTCCGTCCTGGGTTGCTCCAAGCCAAGCAAAGCCTTAGACCATGTTTGGTTTCTTGGAAGACCTAAGGTCTATGGGGCCTTCAGGTCACGCCAAAAGACCAACCATGTTTGTGCTGGCAACATGTCACAGTTTCTCCCGGAGAAGGTTCGAAATTATCCCAAAGAAATACATTCTCAATATTCATTGTAGCTCCTGTGCAAGGACAACGTTCTGAGCTGCAGACTGATATATAGGATAACGGGGTGAATTTTGGTTGGTGCCCACAAAATCACTTGGGAGGGTCTGCCTCAAATGAATACTCATAACCGTTGACAAAGGCCACTCGAGGGTGATTTGGTCACACAAAAAAAACACCAGCCAGGTAAGAATGAGCGGCACCAAAGGACCAAAGAACCGAGGAACCCGGGCAATCTTTGGTTTGGGTCGTTGCTTTTAAGGCATTAACCCCCCTCCGAACACAAGGAAACGCGGCCCCGGGCAGCGCCTCTCGCCGGAGAGGCCCGTGAGCACGGCCCGCCCGAAGCGCGCCGCGGCATAGGCCTCAAGTCAGCTCGAGTCGTCCCTCCCAGTCCGAGGGACTTTGCACGGGTCCAGGTTCCCTAGGGCTCAGGAAGGAATTCTGGGGAACCCGCACTAGAAAAAAACGAAACCTCTCAACTACCCACCCCCTTGTACCTACCCCCCCTGAGGGGGGTTTTTCTCTAATTGGAGGTTGAGGGATGGTTTCCCAGTCACTCTCTGCAAACACCAGTGGTGCAACTCCCCAAACCACCAATCCAATTGAGGGGTAATGACCTGATTCTTCCCTTTGGGTGGGGATTCTGCTCAAGATAACCAATTTGAATCTTTTGCAATCTGGTTTTGGGGTTATTTGGAATTTGTGTGTAACAATCAGTTCGCACAACCATTGTGCGGTTGGCACACATGTGGAAAAAACTGGAAATCGGGGGCACAATCGGGATGCGCTAAAGGTCAATTCTCCCTCTACATGCAAAAAGAGGCATCTAAAAGTGATGTTTGACAAGGTTCTCTGCAAGATCCACACACCTAAATAATATGACTCACAAGATGTTAATTGTCCTAGATCTGTCTGGTACATGTGAGAGTCAAGATAACCAGTTAATCAACATGCATTCTTTCAGCAACCCCGCGGTGTTCCGCCAAAATGATGTTTAGCCCGGATGTCCCCCCCGTGTCTTAAGGAGGATAAGGATGGAGTTGAGGCCCCTCAGGGTTCCTCAAATCTATTTAGCTAGTCTTGCCAAAGTGAAGACCGGAATTCCGCGCAAAAGGTGGTCGCTCCACAAGCATCAACATCATGGTTTGTGCTTTGATAAGCCCTAAAGACTGTCCAAATCAGGGGCAAGCCGAGAAAAAAGAAAGGGGGCTGCAACACCTTCACAAGCCATGGTTTGTGACCTATCATCCAAATACTGACCGTGCCCTTTCCGGTCGCGGAATTGGGAAAGCGCGCCATGGACAGTGTGGAGCTGCCCTTGCCTGGCGACGTCGAGTCTGACGTCGGGCCTTTGGACACCGCCTCAAGTCGCTAAGACTCACTTCCGATCGAGCGGATCCAAACCTTTGCTTACCAATCAAATTGGGTGGGGATTCATGTCAAATAAACATGTAGGGCTGATAAAGCTAGGTGGGGATTCATGTCCACTAAGCACAATTGAAGGGGGTTCCGGGGTTCCCTACTAAATTCGTAGCCAAATGGGACGTAGTGGAAAATGCTGAGACTCGTTCTTCCCGTAGCAGATGGTGAAATCGCATGACCCCAAAGTGGTTTCTTAGCATCACAGAAGTGGCAACCTCAAACCCTGCGGACGTTCAGGGACCTTTCAAGATCCGGTGGAATTCTATGTGAGGAAAGGGAAAACCAAAACCAAACTTGTTTGACAGGAACCTTTTACTCGCTTGCACAATCGGCCTGCAAGAACAGGGTCAACCTGTTCGAACCTCTCAAAATAGGACAAAAGCGGAAAGCCAAAGGTCGGATCCGGTCGATCCGCCGAGCGAGTAGATGGTGATATCACTTGTTTTGATCATTGCCAAACGAGTGGACCGGGAAACCCAAAGGACAGCCAAAAGGGCAGCAGCTAGGTGAAACAAGTTGGTCAGGGCAGTCACATCTGGCAGTTTGACTCCAGGAAAGCGAAAGGAGTTCTGGAAGTCAAAGGTGATTTGTTTTTGGCTGACTGAACCCGCACCATCAGATTCAGCCTTTTTCGGACCTTGACTTTTTCCGGCTGAGAAAACAGTACTATCTGGGTTGCTGTCAAGCAAAAGGCCGATCACCTTTTGTTGCTTTCACGTAATCCAGATTCCAAGTCATAGCGAGGTTAGTTCGGGAAGGTGCTGTTCCTTTGTTCCGAAACTCTAAGAGCCACCAATCGTGACTCTTACACTAATGAAGACCTCAACAGTCGTGCAATCCCGCTGTATAGCAAAGCGACATGCTGCAGAACCGCGTGCAGCGGAAGCTTGAAGAGCTCTGAAAGCTTGAGTAGGCCCACGCAACGCGTTGCATGAAAAATGAACAACAGTATTCGGCGAGTTCAGCTCTCAAGACCAGGCGCTATCATCTGAAGAAAAGAAAACAAACCACCTGCTTCTGCTGTGGTTGATTTGCCCTCCATGAGGTGTTGCACATGCAAATCGACGGGTGTGGCAAATCCTGGAACAAAACCAAGCATGACATGCGTTCAACAGTCTTTGGCGTGGCTCTGAATTTGAGCATGAGGACTTTCATCATAAACTTGGGTGGGGCAAAGCAATTGCAGTCATGAATTTACTCAAGGCTCGACGGGAATTCTCGGTTCCCTGATGCCCGCGAGGAAATCAACTTGGATCTGAGAGGCTAGAGTTTTAGGTCGAGGCCTCTCGTGCCAGACATAACTTTCATCCCCTTTATATATATATATATAAATACATAGTGTTTGCCGTGCCCGCAATTGAACACACAACCATATTTCCTGAGGGGGATTGGACACCCTTTTCAAATTCCTTCTTCCACATCGCAACTGTGTTATCCCCATGCTTCCAGGTACCGTTGTAGTAAGTGAGCAGAGTTGCTTAGCTCTGGACTCCAGGTTTTACATGCTGGCTTGCCCTGGACGCCTACTACAATCTCACTTGCTGAGTGGATTGGCCAATGAGTTCGCCACTCTGGTCCCGGCCCGAAAAGTGTTTCACGTCCAGAAAGTTGTCGAGTTGTCTTAAAGGTACCTGGAAGCACTAATGTTGACCCAGGATGAATAAACCCGTCGCATTATTCGGGGGGTCCCTCCAAAACTGGTCTGAATCCCCACTACAAGGGGACACCCCGTATTCATCAACCAGGGGTTTATTGATTGATCCGGGGTTAACATTAGGTTTGTGCCCGGAACTGAACTACAACGACAACGGGCCCACCGCCCGGCACCCTTTGCGCAATCTGCGAGCCTTTCTTGGCATCGACCACCTCGTTGCCGGCGTCCTGGTCCAAATTGGACGCATCGATGAGGCAAAAAACGACCAAACCATGGTAACTTACGGTCAGCAAGGGGGCTTCCCAGTTTCCTTAGCTGCAATATGTAGGAAATCCACCCCGACCCTAGCTTTCAAAGACCTCGCAAGCCTTCGTCCTCCAACATGAACGAAAGAAGCAACCAACACAACTTCCGCTACATCTGGGGGTAGAAATCCCCACATGGCAAAGCATGAGTTATTTGCAAAGCATTTCGATTTCTTGGAACTGTTTCACGGTGAGCCGATTCTACCCCAGTTCGGGCTTGAACAAGTCAAACAAGGAGACTGGGGTCTGGTTCTTTAAAAATGCCCAGCCAACTCTGATGCCCTAATATGCCGTTCCCGTGCAAAAATAGGGATTCGACTGTTTTCGTGCTTGACATTTTCCAGGGGTCCCACAAACCATCCGGCTGCGCAAATTAGAATGATGCACCGACACGCACCAACCACTTTCGATTGTGTGCTACTGGCTCGGCATGCTCGGGTATGGAACGAACTGTGATTGTTTTCGAGACTCCACGAGTAGGAGCCTTCTACGGACTGCGCCAATGCACTCTACAAGTAGGTCCACTTCACAGAGAAGGCACGACTCTTTGTCACCAAAGCATAGTAACACTGAAGATACCAGCAAACCAAAGAAACTGCAGTGCAGGTCCACTGTTGTCACCATGGGTACCTTGATTGATGCAAGCCTCGCCTGTGGTCCGCAAGAAGAGAGGCACTGTCAGCAAAGGAACTGCCAAGGAGTGAGAAAGCACAAGCGCTAGGCCGACTAAATTACACAAAGGTTGGCTCTGCTTGTCCAAAGCCAGCGATGTCATGGAACAAATGGAAAGGAACACGTAGATGGGTCACCACGTGCTGGTCTGAGCCGAAACCCTCCCAAGAAAGGAACCTTGACTTTGGGCGTCGTGCCCCCACCCCCCGCCGAAACATGACGTCGCTTGCTTGGTCGCCCAGATACGGGTTAATATGAATAAGCCCGAATAAGGTATTGACAGTTTGGGGAGGGGTCGGGGGGGGGGCTTTGGGGGGTCGGGTGTCTGAAATTCGTGAGTCTCCCCTTGTAATGCCGAACCTCAAATTGGCCACAAACCAAACAAGGCGTTTTGACCGCCGGGTCCATCATTCCACTAGCTCAAGGTAGGCGATTCCCCCTCAGGAATATCCTTGATCAACGGCTCACCCAGAATTACACCATGAACAGAACTAAAGACAACGAGCCCATTTATGTCTATGTGGTTGACGTACACCGAAGACATATTTCGGGGCACCAATCAACCTCAAAGCTAATTGTGGATACTTCCATTTCATTCTAAAAATGGCTGTGGGTCAAAAATAGGTACCCAAAATGAAACCTTGCTAAATGGAAACATGGACTGACACCTGCGGTGTTTTAGTGGCTTGATTTTGACCCACACCCAAAAAACAGATCCACCCCCGCATCAATGCCTGGACTCTCTTCATGAGCTCGGCGCACCGCGCGTCGCCCATGGACCGCGCGCCCGCGTCCTGACTGGTCTGAGAACGGGGACACGCGAGGGACAGCTAACAGAAAACTGTGTAGTAGTCAAGGAAACCAGCCTGTAAAAGCTTTGAAAGGAAACTAGCTGGCCTACTATTCTGGTGACTGGGATCCATTGGGCATGTCTTGCATAAACTTTGAATTTATTTGGTATTTCTCCAGCTTTGCGTGGCATGGGTGTTATTGGGGCCTTTTCTTGGATATATAGCATGGCGAGTTTCGCAATCGAGTATTCGGTTGCGATTTTTCAAAACCTTGTTTCGGTATATAATCCCTTGGAAAATACAAACAATTGGGTATTGGGCCGGGGGGGGACGCGTAGAACCAAAGCAACAGCAGGGAGGAAAGAAACGCTTGGCAAACCACGAAACATCTCAACGAACTGATGAGAAACGAGCCCTCTTGTCTGAGAATTTGCCAGACTGGGTTGCTCCCTAGCAAAGGTCGATCACCTTTTGTAGGCTTGATGCGACAAGCTAGTGGGGTGTGGATTTTTTGTTCAGGGTGTCCCTTTTGGAGTGTTTGGAGGGGAAACTCGGAAACCAAAACGAAACCACCCAATTTTGGGGGTGCCCTATAAAAAAGGGAACACGTGTTGCCACAGTTTCTCGACCCGGAGCGATTCGGTCACACCATAAACGGCAAATGCCGGGCCGGGCTGAGTTGAAACCAAAAATCCGACCAAACCCGAGCTGACTTTTGGATCTACTGACAAGACTACTGTCCCTACTGTGGGCGAAACCTGCACCGTTGAAACTAAAAGAAACCATGGTTTCTTGGTATTTGTGGGGGAATCATCATTGCAGGGTGGGTGGTGTCCATCCATAATATATTATTAATCCAGGCAGGAACCGAAGCACCTACGAGAATCGCCTGTTGAATGGCTCAAGTGAGAAAGGCTTTGGTCCAATGGCCAAGTCAACATTTGGGACCAAACGTCTACAGATCGAGTGTGAGCCGCGAGCAGATAATCTGTTTGCAGGCTTCAACGATTTGGGGGTGTCTCTTTTCAGGAGACACCAAACATATGGTTGGTTTTCCTGTTGGTCTCCTTTCGACACCAACCAACAAGAGCAACCTCGAAAAAGACAGCCATTTGTGAGCCTGACTTACAGCGGACCAAACAAGGGAAGGCCAATGGGAAATGGAATCCGCTCCAAAACCCTCGAATAAACGGACTCATTAGTTGTTGACCACCTTTTGTTTTTGATGATCAGTAGTACTACTCTTGGGCACCGACACGAGCCATGGCCAAAAGTCCCTCCCAATCGAAGCATAGACTACTTGCTGGTATATGTTTGACCAAACCTCATGACCATTTAAACATCATGAGGTTTAGCTACACCACCTCCCGCCAAAACAAAAGCAATGTTGGTGTTTTTTGTTTGGCCGCCAAGGTGGTATTCCAACCCACCAACACAGCGCATCACAGCGCCACACCAATACCAAAATGACCCAAGCTCACCCAGCCACCCCAACCCGGCTGACCCCTCAAACAACGGCCGGAAGGTTTCCAAACCCCCAGAGTCACAATAGCACCATTGTAGTCAACGAGGTTTTCTCAAATCCACGTAAAGAACACTTCCATTTGCTTAAGCCCCTGCAGGCAAATTATATCCAATAGTGATAGGTTCCCTTTAAAACCACGAAGGAATCAAACATGTTCTTCCGCACCCAGTGAAGGAATACAAACCTTGGATGTGTCTCTTCCTCTTTTCCGCAGCCCGCTCAAAATAAGACAAAACCAAGAAATGAACAGCATGGCAAGAACAGGAAAGTTAGATCTACAAAAACACACACACACACACACACCCACCCACCCACCCACCCACCCACCCACCCACCCACCCACCCACCCACCCACCCACCCACCCACCCACCCACGCACGCACGCACGCACGCACGCACGCACCCACCCACCCACCCATCCACCCACCCACCCACGCACGCACGCACGCACGCACGCACGCACGCACGCACGCACGCACACACATTGTGTGGTTGTGTGGTTGGCACTGTCCACTACGTTGACTACCCGGGTTTTACTATGGCTGGCAAGCTTTTCTTGGCCTTACTTCAAAACTCAGACTCTGCTCCATATGTAGTCTTCCCTACATATGGGTGCCCATATAGTAAACAACTTGGTATTTGAGAAGGTCTACCAAAATCGCCAGCTTCGATTCCGGCGTCCCTACAACTCGCCCATTGGGGGGGTTGATGCACCTTATCAACACTATCGGAAAACCACAAGGGGGCTCTTTTGCCAACCCAACGTGATTGTGGGTTGCCTTTGAACAACCCAGCAATGACAATTGCCAGCGAGTTCTGCCTGAACCGCAGGTTTCCTTCTGGTTTCCCTTTGAAGGTACCCCAAAAACGGGTACCTTCAATTCAGTTGCCCAAAAGACCCAAAATACAAGGTGATCACCTTTCGTGTCTTTTGCTAAAAGTGGGAACCCAACATGGGAAAACCAAAAAGTGTCAATGTCGATTCGCTTTGGACAAGTGAGTCAAGAGGAACCACACCTTCCATTTGTTGAAATCGTAGTGATAGTGATAGATAGTGATAGATAGTGGAAGGAAAAAAAAGCTTCCAGTTGAGATAGATACTGGTAGGAAAAAGGAAAAGACTTCCAGTTCGATAGGTTCCCTTTAAAACCAACAGCAGGGAAAACAAAAAATCGTAGTTTCAAGCAAATGGAAGCATGCATTCTGATGGAGGAAATTGAAAACACCCATTCGGCAAATGGATTGTCTATTTTAGTGATTTTAAGCGACTGTCCACTCCAAGGCCTCCCCTTTCAACTCGATTCCCCTTCTCTATTCTACACCTGGAAAAAAATAAAAGCAACCTTGCCAATGGAAAGACGCCCACGATTGTCCACTCGGCCTGCGAGAAGAGGGGCACGGCAGAGGGCCCGGACATGGAGCCCGAGTAGCCCCCGACCACCGGCACCTGGCGTCCCAAACGGCCCTCCGATTGCCCAAATTGCCCAAAGACCCTCCCGAAAAATCCAAGCTACTGGGACCCTTAAAAACGTGGGAAACATATTGAACCATCTTTTTGCCCCTTATCATGAATCATTCCCGACTTTGTCAAGGGAACTCCCTGCCCTCTGGTTGCTCCCGTCCTCCGAAAGAGCAATAACCTGCCAGATTAAATGCGCCCAACTCCGGGATACAACGGACACACCAAAAAGAACATCTTGTGTTTCTGTTCCACGTCAATCCCCTAATCTATACTACAACCTATGCCGTGCTTTTGTCGACCTTCAACCTGTCTTTTGGGCCCAGAAAACAACAACTGTCAAAGCAGGTCTGAACTGAATCCCAAACAACTACCTGTCAGTCCAGCTACGCCGTGCTCAAAGAGCATCCACCATTTGTCCTTGATGGCAGACAATTCAACGGATGTCATGCACCCAGGTCCCCCTCCTCCAAGCTAAATAATCCAGACCCGCACTGCGCATAGACTGTGGGAACCTCTCAAAACCCCTTTTGTTAGGATTTCAAGGAAAGCCAACATGCAACCAAAAAAACAAAAATGTGTGGGGTTCCCAACCCCACTTGGATGTTCACGCCGCCCCCAATCCTTGGCATGTGCAGCCACCCACTAACATGCACAAAACCAACACTAACAAACCTGCCGACACTTGAAACAGCGGAAACACCACTCCAACAGGTGATCATGAATACGTGTTGGGCCCGGTTTGGATTAGGGCCAAACGAGGCCTTGACAACTGTATGAATCACCGCGTGTCAGGTAGATGTGGCCTTTGACCGAGAAGAAACAAAGACACCAGGGCCAACCCAACATGAGCATAGTTTTTGCTTCTGCGTAGGCCATAAACACTAGCAGCCACGCCTACGCAAAAACTTCACGCGGAGCATATGACCATGGAAGGGTGCCTGCGTGAGCCTACGCCCCAACAAGCGCCCTTAAGTTTGCCAACAAAAACAACACGCCTATGCGAACCTGCTTTCGCGGGAATTTTCAGCGTGGACTCCTGCCTACGCGATCGTTTTCCGCACGAATTGCCTACGCTGAAGAAAGTTCCCCCACGAATACTAAGCGAACACAGAGCAAGAACGGCGCTGACATGATTACGTTTAAGCTTCGAGCGCTCATGCAATTCTGGAGTGGCCAAACGTTTGGTTCGCCGTTAAAACGGTTTTCGCACAAAACAGTGCAGAAGCCAGGGAATCTGTCCAGTTCTGAAACAGGATCCAATTGGTTCCCCTTTTGAGCGGGTAGCAGG